ATTGGTAATGCTTTACGCATGGTAATCAACCGCGTTATCGTGGTTCTAAATATTTTAATCTGCTGTCACAATTATTTTGATTGCTATTAAAATTCCACATGCCCCCAAATCCCAACACATTTTTCCTGCTTTTGATCTTTTTTCACCACCGCGTTACGCATGGAGATTGGCGAAAATAGTCGAAAACAACCGTGTTCATTTGTGTACATGGTGTAAGCATTTGCATAATACACTGGCGATACGGAACATTGAGGTGAACATCGCCATCACACACACATATATGCTGTCACAATTAAAATTGCTAATACAATACCACATGTCCCCCCATTTCCAACATATTTCTCCTGCTTTTTATCTTTTCTGAAAATGAAAGCCATTTATTCTTGTAATCGCCGTTTTTGACGACTGTTGTTGTCTATTCATATGTATAATAAAACCACACATACATATTTGTCAGGCGATACCCTTGGAAACCATCATGGTTATCATGGTTTAAAATATTGAAATCTGCTGTCACAATTCCAACACATTTCTCCTGCGTTTTAAATATTTTTCGCCACCGCGTTACGCATGGAAGGTGGCGAAAATAGTTAAAAACAACTGCGTTATAGCGTTCCGTAAGCATTTGCGATTCTAATGTTATCAAATTCGTAGATTCAAGGAAATGCCATAAATCCCTGTATAACCATGATAACAACTTCCGATAAGTTTATTATTACATAAACAGAACCACCTGCCCGACATGCTCATTACAGAACATTTCAATACATACACAGCACACAGATCACTTTTACGTTGTCCCATGACCTCATTGTAGACATGATAGAGCTACTGGTTACCGACCAGTTATCGCCAGTTTTTTTTTTCATTTCTGTCACTCCGTGATTTCAGTTCGTGAAAAATGATTTAGTTGATCTCTGTTATAACGTGTATAACTTTCCCGTCGTCTTGACAGCACGTGCCACGTGATCACGCATATACGCTTCAGTTATACAAATGACATTACAAATTTGTCGTCTGCAAACCAATATTCCCCACATTCGATCTCTACATGCTATCATATGTACTATGGATTTCGATATATACACATGCTACGTACAGCTCAAATAGGTTTCAGAATTGTATTTTGAGAAAGAAATGACTGACCGATAGAAAGCAATGCCAGAACGGAAGTGCGTCATTGTGTTTTGTTTTTTATTTTCGAGTGAATAAGTCGCGATGGCCCACATGTCTTTGATAAAGCTGTATTCGGGCTTGGCGATTATTGTGGGTTTTTAAAAAAAAATATTTCCTCACAAGTGTTTTGTCATTTTCGGATAAATCTTTCTCTCTTCCAATGAAAACGAGCAAAATTAAAATGATATCCCGTGCGACAACGGGGAGTTGGCGATAATTTATAGCCAGTAGCAATACAGTCTAAATAGTTTTGGTAAATAATTTGTTTACGAAATGTTGTGTCACATGATATGCAAATTAGGTGTAATGCCACGTCACCACTGCGCCGGAAATTAGCTTTTTGTCCGTCATCCTTTTGCCGGATCATGGTTGGTCAGATTACAACAATGGGTACCGTTTTTCAGATGGAAATCGCGCGGGTGTTAAAAATATTGAACTTCGTGGACATATCGTGCTTGGTTACCACATGTGACAAAGATTTCTCATGTATATATTCTGGCATTAAACAACGTGTCTGTGCCGATAACTCAAGGTGACAAATGCCGACTGACATGACTAACATCCCACGAACGTCTTTCGCATGCTCGAATTATTCCGTACCGTTTCGCCACATAATAAAGTAGCGGAAGGGAACATTGAGGTGAGTATCGACATCACACACACATATATATGCTTTCACCAGTTCACAATTAAAATCGCTAATAAAATAACACATGTTCCCCCAATTTCCAACATATTTCTCCTGCTTTCGATCTTTTCTGAAAATGTATATTCTTGGGGAATGTAATTTTCGATTCAATTGTGTGGCGGCAGATTTATATATAATAAAATCCCACATACATGTTTGTCAGGCGATATCCACGGAAACCAACCGCGTTATCTTGTTTTAATATATTGAAATTTGCTGTCTCAATTCCGACACATTTCTCCTTTTTTTTCGCCACTGCGTTACAGTGTTCCGTAAGCATTTGCGATTCTCATGTTATCAAAATTGTCATACATAATTCATGGATTCAAGAAAATGCCATAATTCCCTGTATAAACAACTAAAAATTCTCGTGCAAAATTCGTGGGTTCGAGGAAATGCTGGCTTTGATTTTTTAATGAGGTGCCATAAATCACTGTATAAACAACTTGGTGACACTGACAAGTTTATTACATAAACAGAACACCTGCCCGACATTCTCATTACATAACATTTCCTGTGTGTTACAGCAAAGATCACGATTGTATTTGTAGGAATTACCATAATTAATTCACATGGTGTAACTTGCGTTGACAATACGATGAGACCTGACATTAGGCACATGTAGTCAGCTGATCCGGTCGAAGAACTCTCAAGTGGTCTGCACATCCGGTTAAGGAGCTCTCAAAATGTGACGAAAAGTCTTTTCTTGGATACCTAAGACAGTCAAAGCTCTTGAGAATTTCCTTATTCTCTCTCCAATGTCTTTTTGGTTGAAGGCAACATTGTATTACGCTTAATAATGACGATGTACTTATAGGTGTATATTTTATTGGCGCTTCTTCTTCTTGGCAGCTGATGGTAAATAAGCCGCACTCGGTTATCTCCCTTGAACGCACGCGAACGGCTTGCCCACCAATTCCAACACATTTCTCCTGCTTTTGATATTTTTTCGCCACCGCGTTACGCATGGAAGTTGGGGAAAAACATCGCGTTACGGTGCGTTATAGTATTCCTTGTGCATTTGTGATTCTAATGATATAAGTTTTATTACAAAATTCATCACATGAAGTTTGCAGTTGCCAATTGAAAATACCCTACTGTTTTGCATCATTATTTTTAACATTTTCCCTTTCTAAGTCAAGATTACTGTTAATTTTTTTTTCAAAAGTACACTAATACAAACATTATGAATGTATGTTACTATTTGTGTCTTTCTTCATGCAAATTAATACTCTTTTGATACGAAAAAGGGGGAAAAAATGTAAAAACAGGCCAAACTGAATTTCTACACAGAGTTATGGGAATTGAATTGCCGCACGGGGAAGAGGCCACCCTAACTGCTATAGTGTTAACGAGTGATTACCATAAACATAAACTGAAGCAGCAAGTCGTTATGACAAAATAGTCACTCTATCATTCACAGTGATCTTTGAATCTTCTTTGAACTAACAAAAGCAGCAAATAAGAAGAATTTTACCGAATGACCAATATTATGTCCCACACAAATAATTGATGCACATCATTTGGATTCGCATCCCATAGGATACACAAATAATTTGTCAGTTTGAATAATTATAACCAATTCACTTGAAGCCATGGTAGCACAGACTAAATATGTACTCTGCATTTCCAATTCCCTTCAGAAAATCTGTTTCAAACAAGGGAATCCTCCTCCATCATATCCATACATGCCATAATAAGAGTGAAGCTTGACATACATTATATATTTCATTTGTTTATAGAACAGAGGTAACCCTGGAACCTCTATTTTCATACCTGGGACCCCCAAACTTCATTACTACTATTGTCAGCAAGTCTGAATGACACATGGTGTTTACAGTGTTTGCAGTTGTGTTACCAAAGAAAGAGACCTGTGAAGTTCCGGTGCATAATAGGTCTTCATCAACCCATTCTTGCCGTAAATGGCAACTGTGTTTGTCGTAAGAGGCGACTAACAGGATCGGGTGTTCAGACTTGCTGACTTGGTTGATTCATGTCATCATTTTCCAAATGCGTAGATTGATGCTCATGATGTCAATCACTGGATTGTCTGGCTCAGACTCCATTATTTATGGACCGCCGTCATATAGCTGGAATATTGCCGAGTGTGGTGTTTAACAAACAGACAAACCAAAGGAAGAGGGTTGCAAAAATACTGTACTTATTTACATTGATCTTAACCAATGATAATCATTTAGACACACATTTCCAATTGAAAAAAAAATGTTTATTTTCTAAGTGAATGTACAAGCATTGAGCATGTTAAGCATGCTATGTTAAAAAGTGATGGTTAAATAATTACAACCAAACACCTTTTTCGCCTGAACATGTCCTTCAGCACAATTTTTGGATAATATTTTTTTTTCACTGGCAACAAATAAATGTATATAGGTTGTTATACTTAGCTTGTTCACCCAGGGAAGAGAATTTCTACTATCCCGAATAGTGATATTATATTGCAATACCACCCAAAATGTTTGATTTTCAACTAGCCTTTAAGATACTTCTAACATAAACATATGACCGTGCTAGCGGGCTAGTGCTAATTTCTACCCCTGTTAAACCCCAAAGAAAGTTGACAGTGAAAATCAAACAGTAGGAATGACAACTGTTTATTTACACTGCTGTGATGTTAATTTCCCAAGTTGGTGATATGTTGTTTTGAACTGTTACACAATGTATATAATGCAATCAACAGTGATCAATGTGACACAATACTTGAGTTTGTCTTCTTAGCATGTTAAGTTTGTGAGTGGCCGTTTTGACCTGCTCCCTCACTATGTACTTTGTTTGGGAACATGTGGACAACGATGTAGCAGTGCAGATATCATAGAAATAAAATAATAACTAATGTAGAATTGGAGAAAACATAGAGTTATCCCCCTTTAATATTTGGAACTTGGAAGATCCAATGTTTTCTAACCGACATTCTGATCACTATTTCCGAGAAAATACATTTCACAAACCAAAAGTCAGTCACATCCAGTTATGAGTCGTTATTCGATTATTTATCACAGGAAAGAATGGTAACATCTAATCCCAAAACATTAGCTTTTGATGAGTTCTCAAACTCATATTGCAATCATCCGCACATCCAGCAATATCTAGGCATATATGTTACAGAAAAACGTCCAACCTTTTCAGTCTTGGCAGTTGACCCGTGTTGTTGTTGTGATCCCTGTTCCATTCATCAAGAACTGAACTGAACTCCGTTTGTGATTCTGACGAAGACGCAGACATTGTTTTGAATGCGAGAGTCTATTTCAAAATCAAAACACTGCAAGTGGTTGAAGTCTACATGCACTAATACGCGTATCAGTGGTACAAAGCAACCCCAAAACTCAAAAGAGTCTTACAGGATTAACGACTGCACCCTTTGGGTGTAAAAACAGTTTGAAAGTAGCTGTCTTTTACAAAATCAACGAATTTGTTCCACCATCACATGCAACATATTCGCAAACGACGCCATGCCGTTCACAACTTTCCGGTAGTATATCTCAGTTACAGTTTCGTATTTGTATAACTTATGCCAGTATCATGACGATATTTTTGGATTAATTTAGAAATTTGATAATAAATTCTTTGTTTTCAATTTTGCGTTTTTATGGTAATCCAACTTCGAAAATTAAGGAAATAGTAAACTGGTTTCCAGTCTTTATGAAGACTCGTTCAACTAATGATATGCGCATGCGCTCGTTAGGGATTTTATGGCCTGCTTCCAATATTTATAACATGAGGTGCGTTCAGTTATCAAAATTTGAGTGACCTGAGTCAACTGAGGTTACCATATTTCTGGCAACCAGAATTGACTAGAGTCAACCTGAGTTAACCAGTGTTAGTCAAGGAAAACTGAGGGCAGTATTCGAAGTAGAACGCATAAAATGCAACCTTAGATTTAATGGTTGGTTGGTTGGTTGTTTAACGCCGCACTCAGCAATATTCCAGCTGTATGACGACGGTCTGTAAATAATCGAGTCTGGACCTGACAATCCAGTGATTGACAGCATGAGCATCGATCCACACAATTGGGATCGATGACAGATTTAATGGCTTCCAAGAGACGGAGAAACACAACCGTGCTACATACAACACGCAACTATGAGACGTTAGCAAGTGTTTCATTTCATGACAAAGCTGCCATTGTATCTTTATTGTTGAATACATGCAATACGACAAAAAAGTTCACAATTCCGTGTAGAACATCAAACGACATGCAAAATCATCACCAAAGTGGCATTATTAATTCTAAAGCCGAAAACAGTTTGGTTATAAGTCAAGGCTAAAACAGCTAGTGCCAATGTCAACTGGCTAGGAAAACTTCAAGTTTTCCCGAAGTCTTTGAAATCGACAGCCACCCAAATTTGGTTTAGAATGATAGACTTAATTACATTTAGTACCCAAAAGAAACATTCAAATCCATTAATTTCCCAAGCATCTAAAAACACAACGGCAAGCTTGTGTAACACATATTTCGTTTTTACTCAGAGTATTTACAATAGTTGTATGAAAGGAATGAGGACACCTGACAGACTATCCGTTGGGATTCCGGGCACAACTATAGGTCCCCAGTAACACGTAACAGGCGACCAATGGAATGGGTGGTTGGGCTCAGTGACTTGGCGATTGCGTGTCATCGTATCCCAAATGCGTGGACCAATGCTCATGATATCAATCACTGGATTGTCTGGTCAAAACTCGATTTTTGTCGTTTTGCATGTATTCAATAATAAAAATACAACATGACTCATTGTGTAATGGGCAATGTAAAAACATATTCCCCATCTGCAAAAGCGTTACAGTAGGAACAAAGGAATCGTATTAGTCAATCGGAGGATATATAAGGGACATAACTCGTAATCTGAATGCAAGAACTGGATTGAATGCTGACTATCTGGAAGATGATTTGTTGTCAAGTTTAGAAAATAATAGTGATGTTTCTGTAAGCCAAGGTATCCTTGTGGTAAGCATGTGAACAAGTTTGGAAAGCCCTTTCCGAGAGAGAGCGGAAAGTCCGGGGTTCGATCCCCGACCGCGTCATACCAAAAGACGTTAAAAGATGGTACTTGTTGTTACCCTGTCTGGCGCTCGGCATTAAGGGGCTAAAACAAGGACTAGTCGGCTCGGAGTCAGTATGCTGTGTCTGAGTGGGATATTCATGTTAAACTGCGGCATGGTGTCTCAGTGTGCTAGCACTATAAATCGGCTCCAGTCCGGACTAGTACAAGCAGCCACACAAACACACACACGTACATGCACGTCTCTATATAAGTGCAATAGTCTTGGACGCGACGTTAAACCCCATTTCACCTCACCTCACCACCTTTCCGAGAACAATGGGCAGTAGTGTTACAGATCATGCTTGTACCGAGGAACACTTCAAATACATCTGGGGGGAATCTTCGATGGAATTAATTTTGTCAAGCATAGACTCGGACACCACTTTAGAAATGTTGGTGAAGGCGAACTTAGTGGCTCTATCTGACATGATCTGATATCCAATCTTAATAATATAAATAAAGCGACAAAACCCTTTCCATATCCAGTAGAAATCTCTGCATAAAGTATAGTCGTTTGTACGATTCCGACTATATCATGAGCATGTGTTTACGAATCGCTATAAAAAAAGTAATGATATCAGGTTTTCGCTGAAAGGTGATGTCTCCTGTCCCATCGGTGGCTACGGTCACAAACACATGCTAAGGCGAGTCAATTGTTTACCTGAAAAAAAACCAACAACACGGGAACATATGGTACAAGATAAAATAGGGAATTGCATCTGATATTATTTTTGTCACTGATGCGTCAAATTTGAAAATGTCCTCCACGTGTCTACAATAATTATTTTTGAAGTCTTTACTGAGGCCTTGAATGTTGTAACTTTGATGAAACAAATTCTGAGCAAGTCAGACGCTCTTTAAAATCTTGGTTGAAAGAGCATGCTCCATTGTATCTCAAAAGTTGTGAAATGTAAACACCAAAGGCTGGAGCTGCTGGAATATCGCTCGACATGAAAGGAAAGTTGACTGTTGGAAAGTTGAAATCATCCCTCTTGTCATACAGTCTTGTGGTGAGTGTTTGTCACTCTGAATCTTTATGCACAGATCTAAATATGAAACGGACGAGGCGGTCTCACTGGTCTCCTTTATTTCTAGTTCAGGTGGGTAAATCAGTGGAAGGGAATTGGCTATTTGATTGTTATTGAACAGAAATTCCGATTCATACGCATAAAGAAACAGATCCGCAAGTAGGGGCACAATTGGCGCCCATTGGGCATTTACTTCTTGCCTACATGTCTTACCCCTAGACGTCTTGACGTAGATGTTATCAATAACAGAAGCTATCCTTAGCTGAGCCTCAGTGTTTAAGAACCTTTTGCTCAAAGTGTTGATTACAAAAGCCCCGGTACGATGAAGAATGCCTTCTCAAAAAGCAGGAACGTTGTCGTGCACTTAATACCTTACGGAAAACTAAGCGTAGTGAACATATATATATTCAACTAGAAATGAGTAGAAAGCTCTCTGCAGAGTAAAACACAGTGATTATATGGAAAGCAAACGAAGGCTTTTGGATTCCCCCTTAAAAATATACATTATTAAAAGGATTGAGCAGCAATGCATACCTATATCACTTTTGGAGGGGGTACGGGCTTTCCGGTTATTGGAGCAAAGTGCTGTGCGTTCTAGAACGTTTTGGAAGAGTCTCAAAGAGGTGAGGTGAGGTGAGGTGAGGTGAGGTGAGGTGAGGTGAGGTGAAAGATTATTGCACATATCTACACATGCACAATATATATAGGGACGTGCATGTGTGTGTGGCTGCTAGTACTAGTCCGGACTGATGCCGATTTATAGTGCTAGCTGACTGAGATACCGTGCCACACTTTAACATGAATGCCCCACAAAGACACAGTACACTGACTCCGAGCCGACCAGTCCTTGTTTTTAGCCCCATGATGTCGAGCGCCAGACAGGGTAACAACAAGTACGATCTATTAACGCTCTCCGGGCGGACGCTCTGGCACTAGACCCCGGAGGCGCTCTACAATATCGAACATCTACAAAAAATCCTATAGATGCCTGAGAACGGATGAGCTTTAATAAACCAAATCTCTCCAGAGGACAATCCTTATTATGTCTGAAGCGTCCGAAAAGGAATTTGATTAGGTCAGCTGACATTTCAGATGTGCCGATAAATAGATCGGAAATAATTGACAGTACATGTCTTGATAAATTGAAAAACTGTACATATGTAAATATGCCAGAGTTTTTACAGCAGTATAACTATTGTTACTCATTTGACAATTATATTTAACTGTATGTATAATTCAAGTATTTTCCCAAAAGATTGGGACACGGGTATTATTATCCCAGTGTATAAGAAAGGCTCCTTCCTGGAGGGCAAGTACTGTGTTGAGTATTCTGTCTAGGGTATTTATATCTTTTCTAAATGATAGAATAATATTCTGGGATGATGCATTCGATAAAATATTGGAGTGTCAATCTGGGTTTAGGAAAGGGTATTGAACCACTGATAACGTATTTGTTTTAAATGCTATTATGCAGATATATATATCTATGTCTGGCAGAAACTTATACGTAGCTGTTATCGTTGTTTCGAAAGCATTTCACGCAGTGTTGACATTCTTATCAATGGGAAGTGTTTGAAAAAAGGGATCTGTAGTGTAGATGCTAAAAGCTATTTGTGGTTGTATTAAAGCATATTTAAGAAGCAATAACATAATGTCGGATCAATTTTAATGTAATTTAGGTGTTAGACAGGGATGTGTCTTTAGTCCTTCATGTTTCAGTTCTTTGTCAATGAAATTGTACACGCAGTACGACAGGAAGGTTTGACCGGGGTACAACTACACCCAGACATCATACAAATATTTCTGCTGCCATGTGCAGATGATTAAATCTTATTTTCAGATAATATTAATTGACTACAAAATGAGCTAAATATTCTTTATAGATAATGTAATGACTGGAGTATGTTTGTCAATATATCTAAAACAAATGTTGTAAAGTTTAAAAATGGTGTGCGGCAGAGTAGCCGTTAGAAATGTTATCTTAATGGACAACTTGTGGAAATTACACAAGGCTGTAAAAACTTGGGTTAAAATATTAGCAAGGGATTATCATGGAAACATGATTTGAATAATTTGCAGTCCGAAGTAAAATGATTTTAGTTTCTCTTTTGAAAAATATCGGCGTCTTCAACCTAGTTTTTCTTCAGACTGTTTGATTGTAAAATTACCTATGCTATTACTGGCGCTGAGAAATTGGGGTTTCATAAAATGGAAGCTCTCGAGAAAAATTCAGAGTAATTCGTTTTTAAATGTTAAACTGTACATGAAATATTGCTGTTTTTGGTGAATGTGGTAGATGTCCCCTCAATGTAAATGCAATGATGAAAGCGTTTAAGTACTGGTTACTATGTACACAATTTCCTAAGAAATGTTGCAATATGTTAGTCTCAGATGACAGTAATGGTAACACTTACTGGGTCACAAACATAAGACGCACACGGTTTTCTCTTGGTTTGGAGATGTATGGCTTCCAGGAAATGACCATGTATTTACATTAATGCTTACACAACGCTTAAAGGATCATTTCCAACAGATATGGGTGAGTGCTTTACAACAAAGTTATAAAATGTCATTCTATTCCCAATAAAATACAACTTTAAATGTTAACAGTATTTAACTTGTATAAATAACTTGGCACAAGCTTCTCTCGATTTATATGCAGTTCGCCTTGGCTTGAAATTGAAACGGGCAGGAGAAGTAAAACTCCCACTGTAAAAATTGCTCTTCTAAAATTATTGAACACGAGATTCATTTTCTGCCTGTTTGTCCTACATGTGATCACTTTCGACAGATTTATGTTCCATCTTTTTATCAGATACATGTACATCTGAATATAAATAAATTAAAAGCTCTCCTGTCTTCTACACATGTAAATATGATTATAAATCTCTCTAAGTTACGGAAGCCTTTAAGGGTCGAAATTACAAGATAAATTTTAAAAAACAAACAAATGGCCCTAAAAGGCTTCCGTAATAAATTCTTATTCTATAGTAAACACAACGAGCCTGTGCATGGTCACTGTGACCGTGACCCTATTATTATGTACAAAGGACCTAAGGACTCAATGTGCTGAAATAAAGGCAATGCTGGGCAAGAAGAATGGACATTCTGACAACAAATAGCGACTTTTGGGGTACGCCAATGGTTGACGCGTTCGTTCGACACGCCGAAGTCCCGTGTTCGATTCTCCACATGGGTAGAAAGTGTGAAGCTCCTTCGTGATGTTCCCCGCCGTGGTATTGCTGGAATATTGCTAAAGGCGGCGTTAAATAATACCCACTCATTCTTTCCTAAATGTTCCCTACCTATGTAAGCAAGGACATTTTCATTGACGTGTTCATGTTTAAATGATCGACAGTCGTCCAAGGACTACAGGTACAAATGAGTATGACAAATGTATAAAGAAGCGAATGAAGGGGAAGCAACAGTCAAAACGACCCCCGTTCATCCCCCGTTGTTTGTGGATATGAGTATATCTTTACATTCCCTTTTTATACTACTGAGAATGTACAGTATGCACAGAGCACTAAGACACTATTGAATAAGTGAGTTAATGAGTTTGGTTTAATGCCGCATTTAACAGTATTCCGGTTACATCACTGCGTGTCAGCGCAATGTGGGAGGAAAGCCCGAAGAGATGCAGACGTTTAAAACTTCGGTGAAACCCACGGGGACGGGTATAGTGCTGACAAACCTAGAAACATAATCGGGGCGAACCGGGATTCGTTCCCACAATCATAGGTTTCTGGCGTACCCAAGGGACGCAACTCTGCACATCGAATTGTGGCGCCTCAGACGACTCGGTCTCGGCACCCCTTCTGTTACATAAACCTTCTGAGAAGTGTGAACAGTTTTGAATAAATCTATGTAGAGCTTCGAACATCTGGTGTCATCACTCATTTTCAGTGATCCCTTCATCTCATATTCATCGCTATTTTGCCTTTTACCCACAATGGAAACTGGTCTGGCGTTGACCGTTTATTTTCACACATGTATTTCTCCAACAGTTCAGTAGTCACGCCATGTTTTTGCTCCCAACTTCAAACTAAATTATCACCACCTGTGTTACGTGCAAGTCGGCAGTCGGCTGGTCACGGAATTATACCAATCGCACCTCACCGTGTTCGAGGGTTCACCAATGAGGTCAACGTCAAAGGCCTGCACGTAACACATCCCCCCCCCCCCCCCCCCCACCCCCTCCCCCACCCCACCCCAACCCCATCCCTACCCCCCAAGGCGCAGAGATTCACTGTGCAGAGTTGCGTCCCTTGGGCACGCCAGAAACCTATGATTGTGGGTTCGAATCCCGGTTCGCCCCAATTAAGTTTCCTGGTTTGCCAGCACCATACCCGTGCTCGTTGGTTTCACCGAAGTGGTAAACGTCTAAGACCTGCATCACTTCGGGCTCACCAATCTCGCTCACTCACGCACTCACGCACTCCCTCTGGGTATAAACGCTCGGTTTCTTGCACCGATTTAAAGAATACACAGAAGGATAAACAGCAAAATGAATTTCAATCTTTTATTGATGTTTCAAGCAACAACTGAAATTTGCATCCAAGCATCGAATTGTCACGTTTATTCATATTTTTTTTTCATTTTGCCAGCGATTATTATTCGGTGATAAAGATTTCACCACTTGACGATGTACATGGTTAAAATTACTCTAAGATTGTTTCAATTTCAATATAACATTCTATGTGCTTTTGTAGCTGTTTTAACAAGGAATACAACTTGATCCGTGTGTAGCAGGTGGTCAGAAGAATGTGAAGCAGGTCAGCCTCCCAACAAAGGATGAGCTGCTCCTTCATCTTGTCGCCAACTGAAACAAGAGATGGTACAATGACTTAATAACTTCAACGTACATGGAAACTTTTCCTTCATGAAATGAAATAACCTACACACACGTCTAACACACAGCTGTGTAACTTAGGTGTACCATATGTGTAGCAGAAGCACGTAACCTAAATGTATACACTGAATGTATAATCAGAATGTATAACCTGAATGTATAACCGAAATGTTTAACCTGAACGTATAACCTGAATGTATAACCTGAATGTATAACCTGAGTGTTTAACCTGAATGTATAACCTGAATCTAAACCTGAATGTATAACCGAAATGTTTAACCTGAACGTATAACCTCAATGTATAACCTGAGTGTTTAACCTAAATGTATAACCTGAATGTATGACCTGAGTGTTTAACCTAAATGTATAACCTGAATGTTTAACCTGAATGTATAACCTGAACGTATAACCTGAATGTTTAACCTGAATGTATAACCTGAACGTATAACCTGATTGTATAACCTGAATGTTTAACCTGAATGTTAACCTGAATGTATAACCGAACTGTTTAACCTGAACGTATAACCTGAATGTATAACCTGAATGTATAACCTGAACGTATAACCTGAATGTTTAACCTGAATGTATAACCTGAACGTATAACCTGATTGTATAACCTGAATGTTTAACCTGAATGTTAACCTGAATGTATAACCGAACTGTTTAACCTGAACGTATAACCTGAATGTATAACCTTGTATTCCTGCAATATCATGGCGGGGGACACCAGAAATGGGTTTCTCACACTGTACCCATGTCGGAAATCGAACCCAGGTCTTTGGCGTGACGAGCGAACGCTTAAACCGCTAGGCTACCCGACCGCCCCTTATTTTGGTAGTGACTCCTCACAGATATCGTACCGTTACATAACATGGTTACGCCGCCATGTTTCAAAGTGCATTTTGATACTTTTTGCTCCTTCAAATTTTGGTCATCAAAGTGTTATTTTTTGTAATTATTGATTGTGGTTGATATCAGATCATAAATATAATTAAAATTAACATCACATGAATCGATGCGCAAAAAAAGTATACGAAATGTTTCTTCTATGTAATTGAAAGAACTGTTGTTAAATTTCATTATGTCAATTTAACCAGCACTCATTCATGCAACAGTTTGTAAATGTAATCTGTCTTTGAGCAATGTTTTGTAATAATAAGTTGGTTAAATGAAGACGGGAAAGAAACGAAATATAAATTTATGCGAAAAAATATAATTGATTTTCAAATATATGTTTAGGCTAACCATTAGCATTTGTGCTTTATGCGATTTATTATTTTTATTTTTGAAAGTTTATGTATCAAATTATATTCTAAAAAATAAAACCACGAATAGAAGAAGTATTCTATTAGTGCTTACTGAGCGCAAGTACTCATCAATTTAAAAAATAAATATGATATCGGCAACTTTACATATTTCAATTGAAAAACAAACATATGAAATCAACTTGGAGATATAGTTTCATTTGCTCCTTAATTTATATCAACACTTGTCTATACAAGTAGTACGGTAAACATCAGAGTTTTCTACTTAATCGACTTGTGTTGGTTCATCTGATATCAAAAGACACTCGGCTGAGATTCTCTATATTATACTCCTTGGTTCCAAACAAAGAAAGACCGCCTCCGTGGTCTTGTGGTAGAGCGTCCGCCCGGAGAGCGGAAGGTCCAGGGTTCGATCCCGGGCCGCGTCATACAAAAAGACGTTAAAAGATTGTACTTGTTGTTACCCTGTCTGGCGCTCGGCATTAAGGGGCTAAAACAAGGACTGGTCGGCTCGGAGTCAGTATACTGTGTCTGAGTGGGGTATTCATGTTAAACTGCGGCATGGTATCTCAGTGAGCTAGCACTATAAATCGGCATCAGTCCGGACTAGTACAAGCAGCCACACACACACATACACGTGCATGCACGTCGCTATATAAGTGCAATAATCTTGGACGCGACGTTAAACCCAATTTCACCTCACCTCACCAAACAAAGAAAGGGAGTCTTGCCGCAAATCAATTTCTAAGCTTTTCCGATAAAGACAACAAGCAAATACCTCAAATTTTACAGATGGATGAAGCAATGTTATTCAGGCCTGGGAGGCTGCTGTAGCACTTTCCTTCACTGAGGATCATCCGCTTCCCGGAATATTTGATCTCACTGTAAAGCGCCCAACTAAAAAGGAAACATTAAATATCCCCAGAAACAACGTTAACTGTGTATTTCCAAATTTTATTTTCACACATGCTTTATATATATGCTTTTGTATGAAAAACTCTTTTTTTTTCATCACAAACTGTCTTCCACAGGTGTACCGGGATATTGTTTGGTGAGACCAAGCGCAATCTTATGTTCGGCTATTTCCGTCAAGCCCGGAAATGGTTATGCCGGCGCCTTCTGTTGGCAGATTGAACCAAGCGATGAAATTAAATTGCGTCACAATGTTTTGTAATGTGACATCATCGGTTACCATCGGTGAGGTCACTAACCTCTCAACCACTGAAGTTGGTTTGCCGAACCTTGACACTCAAGACACTGGTTATTACTATTTGCAAACTGCGAAAAAGCTGGAAGATTGATTCGGGATGATAAGTAGAATCTCAACTTCGAGTATTTATCAACACTCGTCGAGAAAAGTTTAAAAAATCACCAGCAAGGCTCAGATTTAAACTTTATCAACTCTTGATGATATACAGAGAATTTCACCCGAGTTTTGATATATTTGCTATCAAAAGACACGAGGGTGAAATTTTATTTATCATCCAACATCATTCTTCTTTTCAGTTTGTAGACAGTACTTAGCAGTGTCTAAGTGTAAAAAGTACTGCTTACAGCTTCAGTAGCAGAGCCATTAGTGATGTCATATGATTGTGACGTCATGGTAACAATGACGTCACAATGGTCTGCAAAGCATTGTGATGCAATTTCATTGCAGCGATATCTACAGTATAGATATCGCTTGATCTCACCCAAGCGATATCTCCTGTGGGAGCCAGTTTTGGATGATAAATAACGAGATAAGTTTTCCAATGAGTGGAAGAGAGATTTGTGTCGTTTGATTGTGACGTCATGGTAACCGATGATATCCATGGCTATCACTGATCTCACCAATGCGATATCCCTTGTGGACGCCAGTTTGGGATGATAAATGGCTTCACAGGTTGATGAACCTTCTGTGCACTCAATAAAACATGTAATCAGAGTAACCAGTAACTGCTGGATTAATATGCAAATTAAACTCCAATAAACTAATGATCCGCAAAAAAAACAGGTGTGAGTCTTCCTCTAAACAGAACATAAAAAGCTAAAAAGGAAAAAAAAGATCACCGTTGAGTGCATATTAACTTACTCTCCCTCATGGACAACGGCGGAGGATACGGAATTGTCGAACGCTCCCAAATTTGCGAGGTCGTCGCTGACTGTCAAACGTTTACCCTTGAAGCATTCCTTCTCGTAGAGGGTCACCTTGGCAGAGCAGCACCAGTTTGACTGCAAAATGATTTTGGATAATACACAATGTGTAACGTTTCCACGCATAGATCGACGTAGAGCTGTACTATAGTGAGATATTAGGCGACTTTGGTATAATAATTACAATTAATATAAATATACGTGGGTATATAGCAATATTCCAACATCACGGTGTGGTACATCAGAGATGGAATTCATGTTGAGAATCGAACAGCGGCCATCGATGTGATGCGCGAACGTTTTAACCACTAGGCCACCCCACCGCCTTTAAGAACCTTTAACCTCTAAACTTTCCTGTGATTATAGAAAATGCATGTGTTAAATATAAATGGCGATGTTTCAAAGCACAAAATATACGAATCTAACAGATGTTAAATTACAGAACCCGTTTGCCAAAAGTTTGGAAAATATAACTCCTAAACTAAACTATAACAGGAACTTGATAACAATCACAAGAAAACTCCACTAGGTGTAATAAGTTGAATGAATGATATTTTATGGACAAACTATTTAAAATATGTTACTTGTTTGTTGTTTAAGGTCGCACGAAACAATATTCCAGTCACGGGAACAGCGGTCTGTAAGTAATCGATTCTGGACCACAGATTATAGTGATTGACATAAGCGTCGATCTACGCAATTGCGATACAATGAAATGCATTCATTAACCAAGTCAGCGAACATGACCACCCAATCCCGTTAGTCGCCTCGTACAAGCAAGGGTTGCCGAAGATCAGTTCTAACGGGGATCTTCATTGGAGTTTTATGTGCTATTTAATAACTTATTCACATACCATTGTTTCTGCTGTTGTTAGGGCTTTCGAATCTGAAATAGATATGAAATAATCAAACAGAGTTACAAAATGATGAGAACAGACGTTGCAACTGATATTGGGATATATCTTTCTTATCTGAGTGAGTGAGTGAGTGAGTGAGTGAGTTTAACGTCGCTTTTAACAGTATTCCAGTTATATCGCAGCGTGTCAGCTTAATGTGGGAGGAAAGCCCGAAGAGATGCAGGTCTCAGACGTTTAAAACTTCGGTGAAACCCACGAGCACGGGTATGGTGCTGACAAACCTAGAAACATAATCGGGGCGAACCGGGATTCGTTCCCACAATCATAGGTTTCTGGCTTGCCCAAGGGACGCAACTCTGCACAGCGAATCGCGGCGCCTTAGACGACTAGGCCACCTGTGCCCCCTATCTTATCTGAACATATTCAACACGGACCGTAGTGCATTACTGTAAAGGTACGTAAAATAAATGAATTAAAATTGTAAATTATAAAATGTGTTCGCGAGACAAGATGTATGTGGTTACCATATATTTCTTCTGCGTTTGGAGAGGGTTCTGTCGCTCTTATTACTTATATTTATGCTCAGAAAGCTGTACAATACCTATAGAGCAGTGACTTGGCCAGTAAGAATTATCTTCCAAATGTTGAACGTTTATGGGGGCAACGTAAACACCAGCATGCACTCAGTGTTTACCCGCGCTGAATTTCTTAGAAGTAGGCTTTCATGAATCCTTGTGTTACAGTAAAAGTGTGTGTGGAACACGTGCATTTATACAGATGTGTGTATGATACAACGGGTGCGAGTCATCTTTTCTTGAATCTGCAGAAAGTGGTCAAATCTATGGAATACTGAAAGGGACATTGGCCAAAATCGCGTGTTTTCGCAATCTCGCTTGTTTCCAAGGGTCAAGATCGCGAGAATGTCCCTTAATATATAATTTATATAAAACACAAGGAAAGGATAGTGACCCTCCTTTTGGGCATTGTTAAATTCACTACAAGTTCATACCACGTAAGCCAGAGTGGTTTTGATATCTATTGCACTGCGCCATATTGCTTTATTGGTTTTGGGGTTTGAGAAAGTTGCATGGGGATGAGTATCATATTTGACTTTTATATTACATATGTATCTTACAAATTACAATTTGTTTCACCTTCTGTGTTACACATGTGTGCTTCACGATGGTACAAGTACTTGAATCAATAGGTAGGTTTGATATAAAATGTCTTCGCGCCATGTTGATCCTCTGGACGAAAGTTGTAAACATTTAATCAAACTTTACCATATCTTTGAGTGTGAAAAAAATAATGATTTCTTTATACCACAATACTCCTGTTGGTATTTCGATCCTTCGAGTGTCACACACTACAGACATATCGCAAGATAGACACGCCACAATGTAAGACAGTCATAGAAAGCCGCCATTTTTAGATTTTACGTAAATAAGCCCACAATATACACAATACTGCAGCGAATAAGCACAAAGTACATCACCAAGGACAAATCCACATACTCGTAACACACACATCTAAGACCACTATAATGAGTGAGTGAGTGAATGAGTTCGGATTAACGCCGGTTTGAATATTGTTTCAGCTATGTCAAGGCGTAAGAGCTAGATTTGGGGGGAAAGCTCGGGTCTTTGATGTGTGCCACTTCGATTTAACTCACAAGCAAGGATGCTGAGAGCCATAGAACATAACGAGGGCGAATCTGGGATTCGAAGCCCCAATCATCGGTTTCTGGCGCACCAAAGGGACGCAACTCTGCACCGAGAATTGCGTAGACTGAGACTTAGCCACTCATGCCTCTACGACCATCAGTAAAAGTCAGCATAGTAGAAAGGATAAGAGAAAGGATTATCATTACCTGGTGTGGGTGATCAGTCTGCTGTGGGTCAGGGATGGGGTAGCGAACCTGAGTGTTCGGAGTCATTTATAGTAGCAGAGATCCGCGAAGTGTTGTCCTACATTGGCTTGAGCGATTATCCAATCATGAATATCTGGGTTAACATAACAAGAAGTCATTGAGTCGGATACGGACATAACTGGCAAGATGGCAGGAACTCATATATCGCCATATCTCCTGCAGACATGTGTCATTCCAACGAAGAAAAGTTCAGAGATAAAAATAACAGTAAAATTTGGAAAATCAAACTAATCAAGTCGGGCATACTGTATTTCTATAATCCCGTTCATTCTAATAATGTTAAATATACATGATGGAATGGAATTATGATACCCTGGGTAACCGCTGTTATAATCAAAGACTGGTGTTCTGCATGGTTATATACTTGGCCCATTTCTATTTATGTTATGGGTGCCGCAAATGCTTAGCATTGGTATCACACACAACAGATCACCCCACAGGTGTGCTGACATCATATGCTAACGTAGACATGTCGGGGGCGAGTGTAGTGAGTGAGTGAGTTTGGTTAACGCCGCTTTTGACAATATTCCAGTTATATCGCGGCGTGTCAGCTTAATGTGGGAGGAAAGCCTGAAGTGATGCAGGTCTCAGACGTTTACCACTTCGGTGAAACCCATGAGCACGGGTATGGTGCTGACAAACCTAGAAACATAATTGCGGCGAACCGGGATTCGAACCCACAATCATAGGTTTCTGGCGTGCCCAAGGGACGCAACTCTGCACAGCGAATCGCGGCGCCTTAGACGACTGGGCCACCCGTGCCCCCGGGGCGAGTGTAAATCATCTCTCGAAGTGAATATAAATTGTCAATGCAAGAGAATAATCAGCCTAGATTTTCTACCGAAACAGATTCCACTTGGCGTAAAGGGAAAATAGTTGTGGAAATTATATGAATGGATCACTGAAAATTAGTGACACCGGGTATTCGCGAAAAGGGTAAGCATGTCCTGCCCTACCGGCAGCACCCGTCATTCATACTCCTGTCATACCACAAATGGTTTGTGTGTGTCTATGTATCACTGTCTGTCTGTCTGTCTATCACTGTCTGTCTGTCTGTCACTCACTCAGTCAGTCAGTCGAACACACGCACACGCACACACAAACACGCAAATAAATAGACAAACACACGTGGTTCCTAACACATAGTGTTTCACTGGGTACGCTACACTATGATGCTGTTTCTATTACACATAAAACCTCAACGCCAGAGAATAACCAGTCTGTATTATATACCGAAACAGATGCCTTCGAGCGTAAAAGGCATTAACTCACCATATATGTATCGCATTTTCTATGCAATTCTGTACAGATTTTGCTTTTTTTAAAAATCGTGTTATAATTCATGTTGGCAGTCAGTCGGAATACTGGAAGTATATGGGGTTTTATCTCACTGGGAGTATATGGGGTTTTATCTCACTGACCTCTGCATCTTTATTCTATGACCGCGAATCATGAATCGTAGCAGAAGTAGAGTGGGACACTAAGTATAACTTGGTATATAAAGAAAAGTACCAAATTGTACCTTGAGAGATGCTCTGCTTATGCTAATTAAATCATGAATGCCAGATAGAAAAGTAAGTGTAGGTGTCTGAAAACGAAACAAGAAATGGTGTTTCGGCAACTGTTTTCAGCCTACTAACGTCATGAGTATTTGTAATATCGGGGCCGGCTTCTCCAGTTTTTAAGTGTACACTTTCTTCATCCTGACGCGCAGTTCAATTGTCTATGAATATAAAACGTCCACACCATGGAATAGTGAGTGAGTTGGGTCTAACGCCGCTTTTAACAGTATTCCAGTTATATTGCGGCGTGTCAGTTTAATGTTGGAGGAAAGCCCGAAGTGATGCAGGTCTAAGACGTTTACCACTTCGGTGAAACCCACGAGCACGGGTATGGTGCTGACAAACCTAGAAACATAATCGGGGCGAATCGGGATTCGAACCCACAATCATAGGTTTCTGGCGTGTCCAAGGGACGCAACTCTGCACAGCGAATCGCGGCGCCTTAAACGACTGGGCCACCCGTGCCCCCACACCATGGAATAACCAGTCTCAACTATCAGTCGAAACAGATTCCACTGGGAGTGAAAGGCACAACAACCGTGAAAATTATATTTTATTACCAATTAACCCCTTGTCATTTAAAAGTTTTTCAGCCATGTCTCCTTATCTATACTACCAAGTCTGCGTTTTACACTTTGAAAGCCAGTAGGCAAAACATTGATAATATATAGCTGTTATTCATAAAAAGTTTTTCAGCTATTCAGTCCAAAGGTTTTGTAAATTAGTTATTTAGTTAGCTATTAGTTCGTTCGTTATATATTTAGTCAGTTAGTTAGTTAGTTAGTTTTAATTAGTTATTTAGTTATTGGTTAGTTTCGTAAGTTAATTGGTTAGTTAGTTAGTTATTAGTTCGTTAGTTATTTAGTTGTTTGTTCGTTATTTATTTAGTTAGTTATTAGTTCCTTAGTTAGTTATAGTTAGTTATTATTTAGTTTAGTTAGTTATTATTTAGTTTGTTAGTTAGTTATTAGTTCGTTAGTTATTTAGTTATAAGTTCGTTATTTAGTTATTAATTCGTTATTTAGTTAGTAAGTTAGTTACTTATTAGATCGTTAGTTAGTTAGTTATTAGTTCGTTAGTAAGTTACCCTGGAGCTTTTCCCAACAACGGGCAATTTCAATTCTCTATTTTTATACACTAGATAACCATACCATTTCACCTCTTCCTGCCAAATTTGGAGTTTTATTACCCACCCACAATAAAAAACAACACGCTCTGTTCTGTATATTATTTCTGCAGCTACATTCCGCCTTTTGTGTTTGAGACGCCACGCAAAGGTCACGTGGATGCTCAAGCGGTGTCAGACAGACATCCGGGTCATAACTGTCAGACGAACATGTATCCGGGATCACACTCACGACTCCGCTCGGACAGAGGTTTCTTATAAATGTTGAAAGAGTTCTGTCGCTTATATCTCCATTCAATTCAACCGATTCTATTTAGTCTCCATAATACAGTGACTATATTAATATAAAGTTCTTCGTAGTATGATCCTCGTCTCGCCGAAGAAGCGGGTTCGATTCCCGACATAGGTTCAACGTGTGAAGACCATTTGTTGTATTCCCTCCTTCGTTCCTAAAGCAGGGTTGTTTTATTTCTTGTACATTTTGAATTTGTATTGGAGATAGTGAGGGAGCATGGTCTCACGTCGCTTTCAGCAGTAATTCAGCAACATCACGGCGGGGGACACCAGAAATAGAATTCACATGTTGTACCCATGTGGAGAATCGAACCCGGATCTGTGGCGTGCCGAGTGAACGCTTTAACCACAAGGCCACTGCCCCGAATCTGTATTGGAAACAAAGGTGTGTAAACTGGAGCAAATTACTGGAGCAAAGGGGTCAGGTCATCCTGGCATCAGCTCAGGGCCCTTGCCCCCTCCACACGAAGCCAAGGCAGCGAATGGGACTTCTCCCAGGAAGCGCTGCCGAGTCGAACCCCAATCGAAGTCCCATTTTATCACCTGTGCTGCATGAGCAGCACGACAAAGTAATATCTTGTACCCACGTATGAAGTAATGGAATGGACCCCTATTTTTGTGAACACTTTTCTGAGGCCGAGTTACAGGATCCAGACACCCACACACGGAAGGCTGACGTCCACAAGGTCAGGGCGTGTAAACATTCCTTATAGGGTCATCTACACATTAGTAACAATGATTCCATAACAAAACACGGTTATATGATCATAGTCCTTGTTTCACAAAGCAATCTTAGCGGTAGGCAGGAACAGACACGCACACACACGCACGCACACACACGCACACACACACATACACACACACACGCACGCACACATACACACCAGGCACAGACACGCACACACACACACGCACGCACACACGCACACACACACACACACACACACACACACACACACACACACACGTACACACACGCACGCACACACACACACACCAGGCACAGACACGCACGCACTAGCACTAGCACACACACACACACACACACACACACACACACACACACACACGCACACATATATATATATGCCTACCGCAAGGATCACGGAGTCGCTCTGGGCCCTGTTCGACAAAGCGATCTTAGTGCTATGACTGCTAAGCCTTTGTTAAAGTATGGGAGCTACGATCATCTTAGCACTAAGATCACGGAGTCGCTCAGGCCCCTAAGATATCCAATAATACCTCCTGAGCATGCCCATACAGGTTACGACTACTGTACCAGTTAAAACCACCAATAAAATAAAATGAGGAGCAAACGAAACTATACTTCCCAGTTATTTTTCATATGTTTGCTTTTCAGTTGAAAATATAAAGTTAGCGATATCATATCCAAAACTTTCTACCGGCGCTTTGTCAGCACACAATGAATACCGCTACATGGTTTTATTTTTTAAAATATAATTTGATTTAAAACGTTTACAAATGTACACAAGAAATTGCAAAATACACAAGTGCTGATGGGTATAATAAACATCTTATCTTTGAAAATCTATATATTTGCTTTTTCGGCTCCAATATACAACATTTCAAACATGGTGGGGGTCATGTGGTTGCAAATGTATTTCTTATCCCAGTCTTCATTGAACAAATTTATTTTTACATAAAAATTAGACAGCCGCTGATGACTTTTTATAAACTGTTGTAGGAATGAGTGATGGTTGACAGACATAATTAAATTTAACAGTTCTTTCAATTTTCAATTGCATGAAACACAAACTCGGTCTGCTTTCGCTCCCCCCTCAGATCATATTGTAGTGACAAACAAAGAATAATGTATGACAATTTTATAACTAACTGGAGGAGAGAAGTGTTACAGACAGTAAACGAGGGAATGGACGAAATATACTGAGGCATTACGGTACCTTTAAATAACAATACGGGGCTGAACATAATGTTGGAACTATTCTCCCAAGAAGTTAAAGAAGCGCTCTTGGAACATTCCGATGTGGAGTTACTGTGCCTTTAAATAACAATACGGGGCTGAACATAATGTTAGAACTATTCTCCCAAGAAGTTAAAGAAGCGCTCTTGCAACATTCCGATGTGGAGTTACTGTGCCTTTAAATAACAATACAGGGCTGAACATTATATAAGAACTATTCTCCCAAGAAGTTAAAGAAGCGCTCTTGCAACATTCCGATGTGGAGTTACTGTGCCTTTAAATAACAATACAGGGCTGAACATTATATAAGAACTATTCTCCCAAGAAGTTAAAGAAGCGCTCTTGCAACATTCTGATGTGTACTAATAAAAAAATGTCAAGTTTGAAATTTCCCATCTTGCGCCTATCGCCCTTCTTATGCTCTAAGAATATAAGGAAAAAGATTATATCAATGACCACTCAGAATAGGTCGTGCTAAAATGTACATACATAAGATATCATAAGATCTAGTGATTTTTAAAAACCTTTTCAGGAAAACAATAGTCTCTCATTTCTAAACAAATGAACCAGAACATATTTGAGTGAGTGAGTATGGTTACATGCCGCCTTTAGCAATATTCCAGCAATATCACGACGGGGGACACCGGGAATGGGCTTCACACATTGTACCCATGTCAGGAATCGAACACGGGTCTTCGGCGTGACGAGCTAACGCTTTAACCACTAGGCTACCCGACCGCCCCCCGACATCATATGAAAAGCACAACTGTTATACATGTCATATATATATATATATATATATCATATTTGTATCATACGGAATACAGTCTATTGTGGTACAATCCGTAACGACAGGAGCAGAGTTGCGTCCCTTAGGCGTAACAGGAAATGATCGAGGTTTCGTATCCCGGTTCGCCCTCATTATGTTCCTAGGTTTGTCAGCGCCGTACCCGTTTTCGAAGAGCCGCTAAATCAAATTTACTCTCATTTAACACATATACTATGATTTTTACCAGTTAATAAAGAGATAAATGCATTTTAAATTTGACTGGAATGAACAAATCTCCATCTAATCGTACCAAATTTTAACTGTAATGTTTGAGATTAAGTAACGTAAGGGAGGTCGGGGCAGATTTCTGAAGTTCATTTCCTTCTGCCCGTTAGAAGAATTTGACAGTTATAGAACTGACGGAGGACGGACGGCGGGCAGCACGCTTACTACAAGTTCATTTAGACATTACCCGTGAAGATCCGGGGTAGAATAGGTCTTCAGTAACGCATGCTTGCGACTATGCTTGTCGTAGGAGGGGACAAACGGAATCGGGTGGTCAGGCTCGCTGACAATGTAGATGCATGACATCGTATCCCAATTATCGAAAATTGCGTGGATCGATGCTAATGATTGTCTGGTCCAGACTCGATTATTTACAAGCCGCCGTCATATGGCTGGAATATTGCTGAGTGCGGCGTTAAACAACAAACAAACAAACAAATCATTTAGACATTTGATTTGATGTGATAGTTACGGAAAGATAGACATCGCTGCTGCATAAACGTACCTTCGTATACATGTACGTTGAGGAACACAAACTCACTCGACTTAATGCAATCAAATATTACATCTCCTCACCAAGGACACATATTACAATGGGCTGCACACAAAACTATTAATTTAATGTTCCCCGTGCACATCGTTGCCCAAGAAGAGTGAGCGAGTTGGGTTTAACGCCGCTTTTAACAGTATTCCAGTCATATCGCGGCGTGTCAGCTTAATGTGGGAGGGAAGCCCGAAGTGATGCAGGTCTTTGACGTTTACCACTTCGGTGAAACCCACGAGCCCGAGTATGGTGATGACAAGCCTAGAAACATAATCGGGCGAACCTGGATTTGAACCCCAATTATATGGTTCTGGCGTGCCTAAGGGACGTAACTCTGCACAGTGAATCGCCGCGCCTCAGACGATTGGGCCACCCGTGCCCCCTTACCTCACTTAGAAGAACATGGGTAATAGTGAAATATTTTGTTGTGGATATAAAATAATGTCAGAGTGGTATATCTACAAAACTTTTAGTCATTTGAGCAGATTGTTTTGCTGGGAAATATGTAGGGCTCTGTGACCTTTGGACAATGGCCAAACCTGTTTTGATAAAGTATCTGCAGAAAAAGCAATGCTTAAATCTTGGACTCAATCACGTGTTCTCAGTTTCATCGATAAAAACAACAACATGGAATTAAACTTTAATAAGCAATTTATTCTTCACAACTGACACCAGGCAGTAGCAGAAGGCGTGGCATGCCCCGTGTGTCAGAGACAGAGACAGTTCAGGTTTGTGTAGGTTTTGAAGTTGGAAAAAAACATCTCCATTTTACGTTTTCACTAATCTTAGACAAAATATTGGAATATATTAATTAAATAAATATGAAAAACCCAAGATAGCAGTGAAGCTGATCATCCAAATCCAGCCCCACTCAGGCATCAGTGTAATTATGATGATGATAAATGATTGGAACGCAGTGACAAACCGAATCAGGGCCTTCATTTTGGACTACGCTGTAATAAGAGACAAAGTCAGTGGAAAGTAAAGATGAAGTGAATGAGTAAAATTTCCACTCACAAAAGGACACAATGGCTTCGTGTATAGATAAAAGGCATATGTAGTTTCACGTATATACCAAATTTCACTATATAGTTTTATGTGTGCACAACACCACTCTGTAGATTCATATATACACAAAACCATTCTTTAGTTTCATATAAACACAACACCACTCTGTAGTTATCTATACACACAACACCACTCTGTAGTTTCGTACATACACACCACCACTCTGTAGTTTCGTATATACACAACACCAGTCTGTAGTTTCCTATATACACAACACCAGTCTGTAGTTTCATATATACACAACACCACTCTGTTGTTTCATATATACACAACACCAGTCTGTAGTTTCATATATACACAACACCACTCTGTAGTTTCATATATACACAACACCACTCTGTAGTTTCCTATATACACAACACCAGTCTGTAGTTTCATATATACACAACACCAGTCTGTAGTTTCATATAACAACAACACCGCTCTGTAGTTTCATGTATACACAACACCACACTATAGTTTCATATAACCACAACACCACTCTGTAGTTTCATGTATACACAACACCACCCTGTAGTTTCATGTATACACAACACCTAACTGTAGTTTCATATATACACACCACCACTCTGTAGATTCCTATATACACAACACCACCCTATAGTTTCCTATATACACAACATCATTCTTTAGTTTCATATAAACACAACATCACTCTGTAGTTTCGAATACACGCCACAACTCTGTAGTTTCGTATATACACAACACCACTCTGTAGTTTCATATATACACAACACCAGTCTGTAGTTTCATATAAACACAACACCACTCTGTAGTTTCATGGATACACAACACCACTCTGTAGTTTCATATATACACACAACCACTCTGTAGTTTCACATGTACACAACACCACTGTAGTTATCTATACACACAACACCAGTCTGTAGTTTCATATGTACACAACACCACTCTGTAGTTTCATATATACACAACACCGCTCTGTAGTTTCATATATACACAACACCGCTCTGTAGTTTCATATATACACAACAGCACTCTGTAGTTTCATGTATACACAACACCACTCTGTAGTTTCATATATACACAACAGCACTCTGTAGTTTCATATATACACAACACCAGTCTGTAGTTTCATATAAACACAACACCACTCTGTAGTTTCATAGATACACAACACCACTCTGTAGTTTCATATATACACACCACCACTCTGTAGTTTCATATATACACAACACCACTCTGTAGTTTCATGTATACACAACACCACTCTGTAGTTTCATATATACACAACACCACTCTGTAGTTTCATATATACACACCACCACTCTGTAGTTTCGTATATACACAACACCACTCTGTAGTTTCGTATATACACACCACCACTCTGTAGTTTCATATATACACAACACCACTCTGTAGTTTCATATATACACAACACCACTCTGTAGTTTCATATATACACACCACCACTCTGTAGTTTCGTATATACACAACACCAGTCTGTAGTTTCGTATATACACACCACCACTCTGTAGTTTCATATATACACAACACCACTCTGTAGTTTCATATATACACAACACCACTCTGTAGTTTCATATATACACAACACCACTCTGTAGTTTCATATATACACAACACCACTCTGTAGTTTCATATATACACAACACCACTCTGTAGTTTCATATATACACAACACCACTATGTAGTTTCCCGAATAACAAAAGGCGCCATTCCAGCAGTTGCCTCGTACAAGCAACGCTTTGTGAAAATATTGAATCGTTTATGAGTTATGCGTTAAAACTACATCTGAACGAAGTCCAAATTTTTGGTTTGGAATAAAAAAATATAAGAAATAAAAATATCACAAATAGCAAAGTTCAGAACTTGTCTTGATTTTTATGCCATGTTTCAGATGTGAAACATTGTGAACAGCTGAAAAAGGAACCCTTCTCTCATTTGTACATATGTCCTAAGTGTTGACGAGGAAACGACCATTTGTTTACAAATTCCTGTAAAGCAAACACCACCTGTTCCGCCCTGGTCTGACTTGTATACAAAGTTTATTTTGGACATTGAAAATGTTATGAACGATGCTCCAGAAATTACACACATTGAAAACGCATAGAGATTTTTAAAGAACATGTAACCCATATTAATGAACAAGTGAACGTTTGAAATGCAACACAAGGGTGTGTGTTAGACTTGTTGTCAGAGTTCAAATCTCCGTCTGGAAGCAGGCAAGATCACATTTAAATTATACCTCAAAATGCAAATTTAATGCACGCTTTTCAAACGTCAAAACATTTATTATATCCTTTTTTTGTATCCAGATAGAGTTGTGTAATGTTATAGGGATATTTACTGTTACTTCAATCAATCAGATATACTATACATAAGTACAAACAACTGATACCAACGAGGACACATCTAAACCAATTCTCAAAGCATCCATGCACTGTTATAGCCTCCACAAACAGCTGAACGCTCGTTGTGTTATATATTTGTTCAGCACACGTTGAAGCCTTGGCGAGATATGTTGTTTAACTGATATCTAAAGGCTTGAACCATACCCAACTATGTGAACAGGTTTCTCATTTAGTTCTGTCACTGTGAGTGAGTGAGTTGGGTTTTATGCTGCTTTGAACAGTATTCCAGTTATATCACGGCGGGTCAGCTTAATGTGGAAGGAAAGCCGAAGTGATGCAGGTCTCAGACGGTATGCCCTTATTGGTAAAACCCAGGAGCACAGGTATGGTGCTGACAAACCTAGAAACATAATCAGGACAACCGTCACTATGCGTTCCTTTAACAAATGTCCTTTACAAACCAGGTCACATTTCTACATGTGAAAGATCGTCCTCTGTTTAATCAATGACATGGTGAATTACGTTTACAAAAGCCGATCTGGACTTCTTGTCGGTTGTCAATTTTGTATATCTTCAACTGTGTATGGAGATAAAAATTATCTCTATTTTAAAATTCAGCGGCCCAGAATTTGAATATTTTTACATATCTTGCAGACGTAACACACAGCAGACCGTCACCATCAAGACATACACCACGAGGATATTCCAGACCATCTTGTTGTGTGAGGACATCTCTGACAAACTGCCCCGATTGTGTCAGCTGAATAACCTTGTGGGAGTCATGGTCTACAAGCAGGATATCTCCTGTGCTGGTTGTTGTGATACCTAGAGGACATGTCAGAGCTCTGTCTCCTGTGGGAGTGTAGGTGAAAACAGCGTCCCCTTCACTGGTCACACATACAAGGGATTTTACTCCTCCTGCACTGACTATCAAGTTGTTGTTTCTGGTGACATGGATGTAGTCTGGACTCCCTATGATCCCCGTGTTGATAGACCTCAGTCTCCTCCCTGTCATGTCCAGTATGTCCACACAGTGAGACTGTCCATATCCACCTGCCACCAGCTGTGAAGGACTCAGACAGGCCAGTTCGAAGTAATCCTTGCTTGTTTTGATAGTTGACAGCAATACAGGACCTGGGGTAACATTCACAATGACTATTTCCTTACTGTCTGGAACACTGACAGCTATCTGACTCTCACATAACTTGGCTATTTGCCAAGGATAATTAGAAAGCAGGAGCTGATAATGAAAGGATTTGAAGTTTGATGTGTAGTATGTTTTGAGTCTCTTGTTATCATAATCTGCAACTACCACCACTTTGATGCCATCAACAGTCAACAGTGTCACGTCACGCACCAAAGGATACTCCCTGTCCCCATCTTCCTTGCAGTCAATGGTGTGAAGTAGAACAGGAGAAGACCTGGGGTCACTCACATCATGGACGACTTGAACCTCCCCCAGCTGTAGCTCATCAACTGCTTTACTCAGCTTGTCCAGGTTTTGTGTGAATACAACCCTTCTTGCTGCTGGTCTGTTGTCCGTGTCTCTGTTGTCTGTAGAAGTCTCACACATCGACTCATAGACGGCATACATGTCCACCTCACAGTCGGACGTCACAGCATTGGCTGTGAACTCATACTGCTGCTGGTACATCTGTAGCTCGATCTCCTGGGATTGTATATCTGCTTGTAACTCATGTAATTGTTCATCAGTAGCTTTGTCGATGTCACCAAGGAGTTGCTTCTCTTTTCTTAAAATAGCACACATCACTGTTTCCCGTGTCTTCATGACTTGATCTTTAAGGGTTTGTGAATTACTCTTCACATCTTGAATTTTAGATTTTCTCCGGGTTAGGATATTATTCGCAGCTGCAATGTTGATTCCGAGTGTCTCTATTTTGCTTGTCAGTTGTTCCTTCACAAGAGGGGTCATACTCTCTATTGTATCAACATCCTTACATGTCCTGTGTTTTATACAGCAGCATATCGTGCATATTGCCTGCTCGCAGTCTTTACAGAACAACTCTATCGGTTTGTCTCTGTGGACTTGACACATGAAGCGACGCTTGACCTTTGATTTGGTGTGATCAGACAAGTGAGCTACTTCATGGTCACACAACCCTGGTATCATGTTGTGCATCTGGAGACATCCTTCACAGTACACAACATCGCAGACAGAGCACCAATAAGTGGCTGGAGTTGTCTTTCCTTGTTTTGTACAAACACTGCACACATGTTCCTCCACAGCTGAAAAGGCAAATGTTCTTGATTTCATTTGTCATAAAACATGATAAGAATTGGACATTATCTAGGGATATAATAACATTAAGACGTTACTTTTGTCATAAAGGTACACGCCCATTATATAGGTGAATATATCACATAACACAGGTTGTAATTAGATATTATTGATGTAGGAATCCCTAGTCAGTATCTGAGCTAGTGTTTATCATAACCAGAACGGGTGTATAGCGCCATTTAAGTTGGGAGTCCAAAATAACAGGAGAGTCAACAATAAGATGTTTATAAATGTTAACGTTAGAGGTGCTTTGTCACAGTGGAGGGTCAGCTCTGCGAAGTGCACAGTCTTAATGACAGGGCCAACCGTGTGTCCTCATCGATTTGAAAAGATGTCAGAGACCAGATTTATATTAAATAGAAACGGAAAGTGTTTTTTTCTTTCTGTTATAACACGTTTGGTTTATGAAATCCGACACAGACAATAACGATATATGAGCTATAGCTAACTTCTGTTTTAGGTTCGAGAACAACCCACACAGCCATTGCTCCTTTGGTTTTAGAACCAATGGAGCTAACAAAAGACCACCATACTTTTTATGGACTTTGAAAAATGGTGCGTTGTTGCATTGTCACCCTTTGGTAAAACAGTATTCAAAGCGCGACGACAAATGGGCAAAATGTGGCGATGTGGCAATGTCCTGTTTTGGTAATTTTGACACTTTTGCTTGTTTTTGTTAGGACGACAATACGACAACGTGACAATGTCCATTCTGGTATTCCACAGAACCCATTCAAATCTATTAGAATCTATTAGAATGTGCTCTTTTATCTTGGTATTTGTTTTGAACACTTTGAACTAATTATCCACTAAACACCTTGGATTTTATTGAAAAAAATAATTTGTCCCAGAAAATTCTTGACAAAACCTTATTGTGCTTCTGATATACGCGCAACTAAGATCAACTCCACATATAGAAATCATAACAATTATTTACTAGTTTGTAAACAACATTTACAAGGAGTGACGAGTACCAAGGAGTAGGTGAATACATTGTATGTAATTATATTTAGTTATGGCACTATATGTTTGAGTTACATTAGATTTCATTGGTGGGTCAGGCTGTAATTTGTTTGTCTTTGTGAGATGCTTATCCTGCATTAAATCTATGGACCTGAAGTCATAATAAGCAATTCTATGAGCGAATGCTCGTTTATGTCCCTGATGAGTGTGTTTATTTATCTCAAACCAAGGTATATTAGTCAGGCAGTAGATTACCCTTTGTGCCGGGTCCAAAGTCGTCCATTAGCCCCTGCATGACGTGGCTTGGTTTCAGCTGACTGACCCACTCCTCTACTGGACTGTCAGGGTTGGTCACCTTCGTCTGTTGTCTACAGGAGGGACATGGTAGGGACTTGGCTTGTACTGCTTCCGGCTGTGTCTTGGTGTATTTCAGCAGACAGGACTTGCAGAATGTATGATGACACTGAAGTGTGGCAGGGTCTGTGAACACATCTGTACAGATGACGCAGGTGAGGTGGTTTTCGGTCAGCTTCTTAGCGGTCGCCATCTGAAGCAAATTGGACAGCTAAATGAAGTATAGATGGATGTGTTGTAGACATAATCATAAAACATGTACATGACCGCATTAACCCTGACGTTCAAAGACATCTTTACAAGCAGTGAGACGGGAGAGAAAAGGAGACGACCCACTGCATTGTATATCTGTGGTGCTGTCTGTGGGTAAAGGGGGGTAACTCTTGTTGTCATACTCTACCCTGCGCAATGAACATGAGGAATGAATACCATGTTTTGAAAACATGATCAACTGTCGTTTCTGTTATGGACCAATTTCCACAAACACAAAGGCATGTTTTATATTAGTGAAATATCAATAGTGTCACACTCTTTGTCATAGTAGGGTCAGTGGAGGATAAGTTCAATATTTCGTTATAGCACAGTGACTCTTTATTTCACTATCATATTTAATAAGATAAATTTCATATGAACTTCCATAAACATTTAAAAGATCTTTCATTTTGTATTCTGTCTATGGAGGTTCTACAACATAATAAACCACTATGATTCTGTGCTTGGTAAGAAGCAACTAAATCGAGGATTGGATGGCGTGACAGCTTTGTGTAACCCTTTGTGTCTGAATTATTGCTCATTCTAGGCCGAGACTTGACTATTTACAGATCCCCAGGCTTGAACATTGCTGAATGAGGCTTATTTATATTCTGACATTGACAAAAACATCACAGGTTAAGTTAAGGAATGTAGGTTCCCCAACAAAATGGGAGTTGCATGGATCTGAATATTGTAATATATCAAGTGGCGGTTGATTCTTTGTCTTTACATTTATTTTGTAAAATCCACGTGAAAACATGATCATCAATCTGACTTCACCAAACTCCTCAACATGTGTCACAAACACTGGTCAATTCCGCAGTTAACTCTGTATGGTATTTATTGTATGTATGTATTTTCTACTATTTCAATATTGTTTGTTTCCTCACTCACTCCCTTGCTTACTCACTCACACACGTACTTGCTATTGATCCACCGCACTCCTGTATACACACAGACATGAGGATATATTATACACGCGACATTGTGTGGATGTTGTTCAAGGGGACATAACTCTGATCAAAACTTAGACATCACACCAACATCTCGCTTGACGCGAGAAGCTCACTCAGCTTTCGTCCATGCCATGTTTCCAGCACACATCCTTCAAGTTATATACATCACACCTTCTTACATCTGCAAATTAAATGACACGTGTATGCTAATGTGTGCAGTGGAGGAGGAAGTGAATGTATCTAGGTTGGGGAAGTTTACTGTAGACCTACATCCTACTTTCGTTTAACGGGTCACTATGACCTCCGATAAATGTAGGCAAAACCTTGTCTACCTAGCAGGTGTTAGTTTATGTTAATAACAATAAGTTTGATCCTTAATCCGCGATGCAGATTCAGCTGCTAACTTACATGATACAGAAATATGTGGATGTAATCATTGTTGACTCCTGTCGCATGCATCGACATCAAGCTTTCTGTGTTCAACTGAAACCGAGGTGCTTGCAGGTTTACATTATAACACAGGTAACGCAGCAATGTACTGTTAGCGAATGTAAAATCTATATTTGTGGATGAAATGTTATCTAACTACGTGACATACCGATATTACGATGGGCGCGTCTTCTCTCTGAGTCTGAAGGCGTCTCACGTCTTGGTTGCTGCCTCGTGTCACGTGACATAACTTAAACCACGTGATCCGTTGACGTCCGGTATGTATACATGTATCAAAGCAACTATTTACGACTCTATGGTTTGGTTATTAAAGCAAAACTAATAATAGTTTACACAATTTCACAAAACCCCATTTACCGCGGTAATGCTTTCGGTTAGTTCTAAAACGCATGGCGATATATATGCGGAATATGATTTAGTTTATATTGTTGTTGTTGTTTTGTTTTTTTGTTGTTTTTTTTTGGGGGGGGGGGGGGGGGGGGGGGGGCGTACTGAATATGATCTTTTGTATATTTCCATGTTCTATTCAAAATAAATAACCCACATTAAATTCTTCACTTTAAATTGGAAACATCTTCAGTTATTATTATTATTTTGTTATTTTGTACTTAACAAAAATTCACACGCCTTTCTGTGCGGCAATTCACATTTATGCACAAATGTCACCGTGTCTCTACGATATTTCTTTTAACAAATTATGTAATAATTAGGTCAATAATTGAAATCAAGGATGTGTTTCTACATCAAATTGTGGTCACAATAGTGTACAGAATGTAATGGAATCGGCCATATTACAAAAGTAAAAGCGGTAACTCGGGAGGTTTCTGAAATATTTCGGATTGTGGCCGTAGAATAAAAGAGCCTCGACACAATATGCATTCCATTTAGTTTTTGTTTTGTTTGTAACTGTAAAAAAAATTCCGTATTCTGTTGTTTGTGGCCCTATTTAACGTGCGGTCTTCTCCAATCCCGCGATGTGAATAGAAATGCAAAACATGTATCCTCATTAATTTATTTAATGTAACTGTGCTGAAGGGAAGCTTGTAATTCACACATGAGTAGATGTGAGAAATCATATTTATATAATTTCAAAACAATTATTTCACTTGCCTCTGCATTTAGACAAGCTCTTTCCACTTCTTTCAATTAGTTCGATGGGTTAATGGTATATGGTTTGCGAGAAGACTGAGGCGAAAATTACACAAGATGAAAGTGTTTTATAATTCTTTTTACAAAGTTACGGGGAAGTACACAGGTACATCGGGCATACAATATACATTACTCAGAATGAAACGCGGGGTGTTGTATATCAGACATGTTATATACATCATTATAAATGAAAGACGCGGGGGAGTATGTATATCGGATATAAACTATAAATCACTCAGAACGATAGATAACGATAGAGGGTTTGTATCGGATGTATTATATTATACATACTTCAGAATGCTGTAGATGCAGACCAATGTAAGCTTTGAAACATGCTAAGAAGTAGTTCTACCCACATATACAAGTTAGTGGTAACCTAAAATAAAGTAACCCTATCACATATACATGATGCAGGTAATGCAAGCTCAGAATTTAAGTTTGGTGTGCAAATTTATAATAAATGTATAACTAACAGATATAAGCGGTAAGACGGATATGATGGCTCATGCATGCACCAGTAAACCAGACCTAACAGAAAGGAGTATATAGTTACTCCATAGTGTTTTAGGAACCAGACAGCTTCAATTTGAAATAAAGGAAAGATATATTGAAGCAAGTCGAAATAATATATTTATATATTTTGCCTAAAATCACGATGATCCATGGACAGTGCATTGTGTATGTCTATGTTGGGCATTGCTTAAAATATACCCACCGCTTCGCTTGTCATGTGAGGCGACAATCGATGGTTGGTTGGTTGGTTGTTTAATGCCGCACTGAGCAATATTCCAGCTATATGACGGCGGTCTGTAAATAATCGAGTCTGGACCAGACAATCCAGTGATAGACATCATGAGCATCGATCCATGCAATTGGGATACGATGACATGCATCAACCAAGTCAGTGAACCAGACCACCCGATCCCGTTAGTCGCCTTTATGAGAAGCATAGTCGCCTTTTAGGGCAAGCATGGATTGCTGAAAAGACCTATATTCTACCCCGGGTCTTCACGGGCACCACAATCGATGGACCGGGTGGGCATGCTTGTATAGTGACTTTGTTAATTGTGTGACATGTACCCCGATATAAATACATGTAAATAAACGATTGGTTTAAGTATTGTCCAAGGGCGTTATTTCGGCCCTCGGATAGTAGCTCAGGGCAGAGACCATATACCGGTATATGGTCTCTGCTCAGGGTGATGACGGAAGACAAAACTCAGGGGTGAAGTTTAGACGACAGCAGCCATATTTATTGTGGAGGGTTGAAATGAGTCGAAAGGGTACATGTTGATAATAACGTGACAGAACGCACACCGGGACCGAGTGGCCAATGTTCCCGTGTGGAGACTCGCTCTGTCACTTACCTTCTGGCTCTTCTCTAGGCTGTCTCAGGCTGTCTCCCTGACTGACCATGTCAGTCGGGTTTTGTAGAGCGAGGTATTACGTAACGTGTGGCAAGGTCATTGTCCCACGTGTATGTATAGACGTAAGATCCGGCGACGTTAGGAGGTGTTAATTGAAATTTATAGATAGCCCTGGAGATTAAGGGTCCTGCCCGGAGGGGCTTATGATAAGAGGGGATACGTCGAATGTTTGCTGAATATATTAAACAGACAAAGGGCATAGAATTTCGGTGCACTTGGAAACATGTTGAACCAGTTAGGTATTTAGATAAATGAAATGTAAAATAAAAGTATTGAAATGGTTTGCACTATTTTAAATAAAAGTATTGAAATGGTTTGCACTATAACAGTATGAACAACGTCCCACGCCGACATGTACGATGTCTCGCAATCATAGTCTGGTCATTCTGTAATTTAACCTCAAGAAAATTGCAACAGAATATTTTACGACTGTTTCCTTTTAATTGAATGTATTTGAGTTTGTATTAAAAAGTCTACCAAAATCAACCTTCGGGAAAATGGTTAATTCCCGCATCAATTAAAAAAAGATAAAAAACCAACGAGGAGAATATGGCACCTACGGGACGCCGTACATCAAGAAGAGCTCGCAAAGGGAGATAATTCGTAGTGATCCTGCTAGTGCCTTGGAAAATATTCAGAAAAACAACAACGATAACGGAGCCGTATTATTTCATGGTAAGTTGACAAATACACATTTATTTAAAAATGTAATTGATAATGATGAAAATAATAGCAGTTAGCTTCCAATATACTTCTAACATGCCCATCAACCATACATTGTGTAGCGTCGTCTGCTATGTAACTACAGCCGCACCAGCAGAGAACATGTGTTAAACACGACTGATAACCATATTCCTGTCTTTATAAATTCATCCAACATTGTTACAATTATTAGAAACATAATTATGTAAAAAAATATCGAAAAGTGGAAAATCAATAAAAACCTTGGACCCTCCTTGATAAAATAAAAAATGTATGCAAACCCATGAGTGACGTAATTTGCAATTCATTATATTCATTACGTTTTACAACCAATCTTGACAATATTGATATCGGAACAAGTTACCTATTTCTAAAACACCCGATATTGACATTTCTCGTCTTGAGTGCATTTGTTTTACTGTCTAAAGTCACAAAATTAAAGGGGCACTGATCTAACGCAATTCCCCGGACTGGTTGTTGCCTTTGTTATTGTTTTTTTCCCGTGAGTACCCGGATGATACGCAACGCAACTGAGCGTGACCAGAGACTGGGCTACCGTCTGCAAGGACAGTTAAATAAACTTGGAGGCTGGAGGCAATATTTGTTTTACGCATTTTTGCATAAACACTGATTGGTTAACTGTGATCTATAAAGATTTTGACAAAGGGCGCATTTTAATTAATTTCTTAAGCCTAAACAAACAGACAAAAAGAACGGCGGAGCTCATCGGATGTCGTCATCTGGAAATACTCCAGATGATTATACTATTAGTTTAATACTAAAAAAGGTATCCATGCAGTGAATGCATTTTCGGATTTCGGATTGCGTCGATAATACGATTACTGCTCCCTTGTTGTCATCCACATTTTCTCGTATAACCCTACACTTGTGTATTTGTCGCCATTCACTTGATGCTCAGTTAATGAATTTATTACAGGTACAATTAGTGGTAGCACCACTTAGATTACCTGACAAAGGTTCCCATTTGGCATTTATTGTGTCTGGTGTAATTATTCAATCTAAATCCAGGTTTGAAGTGAGGTAAAATGTGTGTTATGTAATATGCATGTGGCAGACCAGCAAGAGGTGAATGATAAGTTGATTTACTTTTTTTGGTAAATCAATGGATCGTTCCTAGTCATCAAAGGATTAACAGAAAATAGGTTGATTGATTAATCACTGTTATCTTGCACAGTGGATATGTCAAAAGTGAGTGTTTACATGTCTAGGTTTATTAAAACAAAGGGAATACACTTATATCATGGCGTGAAGTGCCGATGTAAAAACAACATACTTTGTTCAAAGGGTTAACTGATAATACGTTGATTGATTGATCATTGTTATCTATCACTCAATGGACTTTTAGGAACCGTGGACCTTATGAAAATAGTTGTCACGTGGGCTTTCTCAGCCGACCCTTGAGACTTGACACCTATGTGAAACACCTGAAACAATCCATGTGATCAGTTGAGAAACGAACACGGGTTATAATATCCCGAAACGATATATATCTTTTAAAATATTTGATTTTTACAGAGACACGTGACATCGAATAATTTTCTTTGTACAGCTGCAGACGAGTGGGATATTGTGCCTTTGTGTGGATATTCACGGATACATTCCTCGAACAAGGAAGCTGCCTAGCCTAAAATTTATACACATAAATTTGGTAGGTTGTAATTATGGTATTTGCTTCCTTCATTTGTTGTAGCATTGAACCGATTCGTCCTTGTTTCTCTACGTCTTGGTTGGGAAATTCTTCAATGCGCGATAGACGTTGTTTTCACAGGTCTTTTCCTTTGTAAGTGTGTATATATTACCGTCAATTTTTAAAATGTGATTCTCTCAGGCATTTTATAAAATGTGTAAATATTTCAGTCATTTTGACTAAAAAATCTGTCCAGATTGATTAAGACGATCAAAAGGGCCTACAAACATCACAACAGATTATTATGTAGGATTAGAAGCCAAACAACATAGAAATGTACCTTTCAACGTAACATTTTCAGTCTCTTGGTGATGACATTAAACATGAAAATGTTTGGAATTCGTTATCATAATAATACAGAAGGAAATGTTTTTCAGTCACTTTGTCAAATAACTGAATAT